AAGAAGGCGGTCTGGGGGGCCCCACCTTTTGCCAAAGATAGCAAACATTTACCAATGAATCACCAATCAAGCCTCTTTTTATTCGGTTTTAAACAATGAATCACCAATTAACCCCTACTATTTTAGACCCCCCACTTTTCTCAACGCTCCGCGATGCCTGGAAATACAGTCGATTTCATAAAAATCAGACCCAAACGATCGAATAATATCTGGAACAATTCATAATAGCAGATGGGAAAAGCGTATTGAAATAAAACAACGTAAAGAAGATGGAGATTTGGCAGAAATTATCCAGCTCTCATAAAGAAGTGCACCAGCATTTCATAATAATAACTATTAACTATCGATGATTTTCACAGATTTTGCTTGCTTTTCATGGGCTCCGACGATGGTCTGAAAGTGGGAGAGGGCAAGGGAGATTTTGACAATCATAACAAAATATTTTTAAAAAGAGCCCTAACCCTAACCCCCGTCCCCTTTGTCGGAGGCCCTGCTCTTGGACATTCAGGCTCTGATGCTGATTATTTTTCTCAAAGGGTGCAGAATTCAATGTACATTATCCTATATTAAGAATATATTACTGACTGCTAACATCTTATCAAGAAAAAAGCTTAAATATAAAGAACACATGTCATCGAGAAAACGCCATCATGCCTAGCTAGAGTGTAGAGTTTAGTCCGTTGCATGCAATCTTTTCTCATTGCAAATATTTTTCAAGCTAAGTAAGAAATTATTGTGATATTAAATATTTAGTGATGCTGAGTCAGCCATGTAAATAAAATAAACGCGAATCACAAAAACGACATCGATAGTTAATTGTCATTGACCGTTACCATAGGCAAATATTTATATATTATGCTAATATTGACTGTACAATTTGTATAAATCCATAACTGATTAACGCATACCATTTTAGACGGGAAATTATCTCAGGGGGCAAGCCTGTTTTAAAGAAATGGACAATAGCCTATTGTTTGAGACAATGGAAAGTCACTGAGGTCGGAGGGGTAGTTGCCCCCTAATTAGAATGTTAAAAAGATCCTGCATTGTCGATACAAATGATCGTGTCTTTTATGGATGTTTAGTTATTCATTTGATTTCATATGGCACTTGTTTACCCCATGAAAAACCTCTGAGATTATGCTCTTTCAAATGGCAAAAACGCGCTCCTTAAGAACATAATATGTTAGTTTGATGCCAGGACTGGGATACCGGGGGCAGTGAGGCCTTGCCCCCCCCCCCCCAAAAAATTTAAGTATTAGCAGAAAAATACTTTTATTTCGTAAAACATGGCTGTTTTTACGCTAAATTGTCGGGGCTGCCCCCCCCCAAACAAAATTTGTATTTCGGTCTTTGGTTTGATATTTATTATGTAGGTTGATTTTTACATATTATTATTATAATTATAATTATTATTATTATTGGTAAAAATCTAAACATTGCCATCTTTTAAGGCTAAAGAGCTACGACCTTGAAAGACACTGCTAGAATATACTCAGGTCGGAACTAAATTTGTTAGTTTAAGCATATTTTCTTAAGCAATTACTCTAAATGCTGGAAAAGTTGAGTTGACCTACAACTTAACATAGTTCTGGGTCTTCGTCATCACCATCGTGCGTTTAAAATTTTCAGTTTTTTAAGAAATTAAATCTGTGAAAGAATTAGACCATTATCAAGACAGTCATAACAAGAGTTTCTACCAACGCTTCGCATTCATTGTTTACGTAAATTACCAGCAATTGATCATATTTCAGAAACCACCTCAGCAGCCTTCCTCCAGTAAAAATTTAACCCGTTTGCCTTCCTTCAATTTTCCCTGTGTATTTCCAATAAGATTTTCTTCAAACTGTCATTTAATTAAAGCCATTAATGGACGGGTAAATTCCTCTCATTGTATATAATCTGGTCAATTCATGCATTTGCGTCTAAACTACTGTATCGATAGAGCCTTCATATGGCCCACATCCATGAGATTTTAATGTTTTTTAGTCTCTGTGACTGATAAATAATGGATAGCTATCCCGAATTTTGGAAAACCCGCCTTATGCACCACTCTCACACTCTTGCCAGTGCCTAGACAAATGCATTTTGATACCTTGGTTGATCTAAGGACCGAGCCTTATGTTTATCCGAGGGGCGATTCACTCTTGCAAACAGCGTACGAGATTTTCCCTAAAACAAAAGTATTTCTAGGGATTTTTAGATAAAACAATAGGATTTTCACAAAAGGTGTACGAGATTTTCGTAGAGTGATTTGCCCCTCGTGTTTATCAAACATGATCGAATAGAATCATTCAAAATAGCAAATCCACGTAAAATGGGACATGGCGATCTTAAATTGCCAGGAATTCGAGTCATACTGGTTAAACCTGCGGTATCATCCTAAATTAAGTGCAAAGGGTGATTAATCTTACAGTTCGCTGTGAGCTACATATTGTGACAGAAATCGCCCTGTTATTGAGGAATTACTGAACATTCTTGCTGCAGGCAGTCGATTTGTAGCTCTTTCATGGATTGGCAAAATTGACAAATGAGCTGTACCTTTGGGATACAGTCACAAAAATATTTGGAACAGCTTTTAGCAAAAGCCAAATTGTAAAAGATCTATCATTTCCGTTACAGGCTATTTCTAAGAAATTACTTTCCAAGAATTCAAACTGTGGCGGCTTTTGGTTTCCTGTTTCCGCAATATCTAATTATAGACAAGGTAAGATCATTACTTTTATGCAGGGACGGAATTAAGCGGCGAGCAGTGGCGGACACTTGGTCAAATATTGGGGGGGCAAGCCTATTGTTTTAATAAGATGACGTCACATTTCCCACTGTTTTAGAACAAAAGTCCATTGTTCTCTAAAGTATTGGGGGGGGGGCGGTCGCCCCCCCTCGCCCCCCAAGTGTCCGCCGGCGAGGATGGATTCTTGTATCACATCCATCAGGTGACTGGAAAAGAATGGAAACGCTCATTTTCAAATTGAATTTTTAACTCTAAGATAGAGAAAAGACGAAGATTAATACAGCAAATTTTGTTACTAATGACTACCAAAAATTGCTTGTTACCGAATTAACGGAACTTCATTGAAAAAAGTTTTAGATATTTAGGCCTTAATTGTATGTGACTGTAACCGGCAGCGTGATTTTAAGTATGTGACCTTGGCGGAATTGCAAAATCGACGCACATACGTTGATTGTGATGCAGGAAATCCTTCGAAAAACAAGTATGAAACAATGGTTTCCTGGTTGAAGTTCTTATGCGCTTTTCTGCCAATAGACCTGAGGTGGTGAAATAGTAATTTTTTCTGCAATATAGTCTAGCTTTGAAGTCAGTTTTGGCAGAAGGGGAATGCAAGCCAGTTGCTCAGCGAAGCCTTGTTTAAAAATGGAAAGGGAATTTGTGAAATTACCACCCCCCCCCTCCTCCCTGTTTCTGTATCTGTTTAGTTTTGCAAATTCCTTGCAAACACTATTTTGCTTTCCCGTCTTGACCAATCAATTACGTCATTACAAAATGGATTTTGGCACATCGCTGGTGGCAAGAAAGGAAAAACTCTGAGGTATAGGTTAACCAAAAAGGCAGTGAGCTTGCTTTGGAATTTATTTGTGTTGCATAGACACAATTTAATCCTGAAAAGTACTGCACTCAAGATTGAGTAATGATTAAGGGATCATCTTCAATGGTGGATCATAACCTTTAGTAGAGCGATTTCTAAGAAAGCAGTTTTCCATAGTGAAAAGCAAGTATCAAATTTCGGTCTAAGCAATTTCACCAACAGGTCTGTTTTGTATAATCATCTCTATTAAAGATGTATATTTTTGTACATCCGAAACATTTTGATGTTGGAGGGGCACAGTTTGTTATAAGTGCTATGTCTCAAAAGGGGCACTTTACCAAAAGCTTATAAAGGGAGCTTGGGAGAAAAAGGCAATCTTCTGAATGGTTGGGCTAGCGCCCCTGGTACCCGTATTTCCCTGAAGAAATGACTATCGTCTAAGGGCTGATCTCAGATGGCTTGGGTGTTCACAAAAGAAACTTCGGGACAAAATCCATTGTCTGTTGATGGAGGATTTAATTTATGAGAGTTGTCCAGTGATAGAATGTCACAAGATATTGGCACCTCAGGAAAATATTTTAATATTGGTTTTAGCTCCTGTTTAAGGGCGACCTCGATTAAATTTTCTACACCTGTTAGTGGTGATCAGTAAGAGAAAGTGCCTTTCGATGCGTTTACTAATATTCTCCGCCGCCAATACCCTAGACATGAACGGCAAAGAGTTTGGCCGCTTCAAACTACACGAAATCGTAGCTGATATCAAGCTACAAAAACAAGTTGATTTGCTGACAGTTTCGTCGGTGAAATACGAGACGAGTTTGCTAAAAGATTCCTACTTATTCGCAGAATTTCACCAATTGCCTATTGTTTGGTTTCTGAGATTATCAAAACATGCACCATTAACTGCTGAGAAAATTTCAGTAAGTCTGCGCGTTGTGACTGATGGCACGCAAAATCAGGCGAGGGTGGGGTCAAATAATTTGGATCAACCTGAAAGCTTCCGTAATTAAATTTCTAATTCATTTGCTACCTTCTGTTCATATTTTCATCAGCGCGGGCATTTTCAATATCACACTTGACAATCTGCTAGTTTTAGAACATTCTCATTATGATCATTGCCCCTGCGAGACTTGCTACATTTCCTCACATCAATTGACAGGGTTGATTCAAGTTTCTGTTTAAAATAATTTGAAACATTGTAGAAAACTTAGCGAAATAAAGTCTGCCTTTCCTGAAATCAAATTGACGGATTTCAGTTTCATGTTTACTTACAAGTTTCTAATGCCACCCTGTAACTAACCTCTTCGTTTTTTAACCTTATAAACCTCTGAAATATCGGAGGTAAGCTTAAGTAGGGCAGAAAATTGATACTTGGCTGAAAGTTTTCTTATCACATTGCAACCAGTCTTGTTTTTATCAAATTTCTTTAGTTAACGTTGAGATTTGCCTTACCTTTTGTCAACATCATGCTGTATAATAGAACCACCATAAATATTTTCTTCAAACCAACAGTAGTTCCATCGCAACAAACAGCCATGTTTTCTGGTCTTAAATCCATAACCAATCTTGCTTTATTAGGAAAAAACTAACAAGTAAAATGGCTCTTCGAGAAATATAGTACGTTTCGAACTCTGTCCGCGAACACGTGCGCTAGCCACCGTCTTGAGAATTTCCCGCTGTCGAAAAACGGATCTTTAAAGCGTTTTTGATGGACAGTTGCACAATCTTAAATTATTTTCATAAAAACCTGCTGTTATTTGCTACCAGTATTCGACGATTTTCAGCGGTGAGACTGCACATATACTTTTTCAATATTGAGCGCTATAACTGGTTGGCACGAGATGTATATCCGCCACTCACATGGACCTGATCGATTGGTTTGTCAACTTCCTCTACCCACGCTAAGTAAAAGTATGGTGCTGTGAAACCTCGTTTTCGAGATGTAGCCTAGGAGACATTACAACAGAAGGAGGAGGTCGAGACAGGGAAAAATTAGCCTGCATCGCAAAAATTTGCAAATCGGTATTTTTGAAACGAAGTGTTTGCCATAAAATCAAAAAATGAATAAATGGTGTCCACACATTGTATACATTCTGCGTTAACCTCCGCTCAATTCTTAATTACAACCTGCTACATGTTACAAAATTATCTAACTATTTTACAATTTAACAACTTCGACACTAGTAAACTATCTACTTTCCTTCACACTTCAAACATTCATTTGAAACATTCAACGCAAGGGAGTATTTATCATTGCTTAAATTAGCAATATCAAAGAAATTTATGAAAACATATAGGAATAGAAATATTTAAGCAGACCTTGTATGTCACAGATATATGTACTGAAAGCCCCCCTTAGACATCTCCTCTACCCCCAGAAAGCAGACTTTTCTATACCTTTTCTTGCTACAAATCAAGAATCCGGTATGGTTTGCTTGGCATTGTAAGTGTTGGCATCATTTATAGTTTCGAATCCTCAAGGAAAATGATGACGAAAGATGATAAATTAGTTACTGAGTCACCCCGGCAAATTCAGTCAAAAAGAAAACGTTTCGTTGTTTGATAGTGGGTTCAATGACCTGGCGAATATCCTTAAATCTATGGTATCGATCAAGTCGTTTTTGGACACGTCTTATGGATAAAAGTACTTGCAGGGGATTGATTGAGAACTTACTTCGGCAAAAACTTAGAAACTGTCGGTGTAAATCTACAGAATAATGTTTATAAAGAAGTCCCTATTCAAGGACCTAGGGGGCTTTAGCTCCGAGCTTCTCCTCTTTCGATTGTTTTCAACGAGCACAATACGTCAAGTATTTATTCCTTTGCTCTCTTTTCGAACGTGTAAACTTTTTTAAGACCTGCTGAAGTTGAGGGAATTTTATATCTCATAAACCAAGTATTGAAAACAAAAAAGGCCGACTTTGAGTACTTGCTGCGGCAAATTTCAATGCTCCTTGTTCATTTTTCCACACGCACAGAAGACAGTGTCTCTTGCAAAATCTTATTCGTGACAAAAGCAAGCTTGTCTTGAAGGTAAAGGGGGTTTAAAAAACAAAGGCAATATTGGTTCATAAAGTCGATGTCAGTGGGCAACGAATTTCTGTCTGAATGTTGTCAACAGATTTAAAATGAGACAGCCTGTTAAAGGAAATCTGTCACGACGTTGATTCATTATAAGAACAAAGGGATTTTTATTGTTTCTAGTCCCCCTTTAATTTATCGCATTGTAAAAAATATGGCGGAGTGCTGGACTTGTGTTTAGGCTATTGTTCCAGCTATTGTTCTCGTGATAGTTTTTGTAGAAATTTTGAAATAGATTTGCGAGAGTTTGTACGTCAGAAAGAACTGCCAGATTTGTACGTCATCTGGCAAAAATGAGGAATATGGTTTACGTCCGTGTGTTAAGGAAGTGGTTCGCTCCACGTCGTCACCATTGTGCTGTAGGGTTTGGAGGGAGGGAATTAAATTATGACGTAAGGAATTCCTCTTTCAGAATTTTTGGATATAGAAACGAGTGTCATTAAATTTTTTTGCAAAATAATTGAAATATTGCCTCATGAGCACAGGAAAATTCCCTCGGAACGAAATTTATTTTTGAGGGAGGGGGCTGCCCATTGTATTGTTCCCATTCAGTACACTGTTATAAAGAAAGTAGAATACAGTTTGCAATTATTTGGGGGCTCTAGTACCCCCCCCCCCCATCTTCTGCTCCCGACGGCCAATCCAAGATTCTCGGCAAAAGTGTGGGTCAAACCGTTGTGGTCCGTAAAGGTTCTGGTACCCAGGGTCTAATCACAGAATAAGAAACAGATATACTTATTCTGCTGTCTAGTACCCAGGCACCCAATACAACTTACAGTGTATTGCTTCAAAACTTCGTGAAGAAGCCAAAAAGGTTTTATGACGTCACACTTAAGTAGTATCAAAAGCTGGAATCATGATGTACCTTTTTAGAAACAGATGATTTTTGCCGAGGCCACATTTTTTTTATAACTTGTGGTTCGAGATCTCTCTTAACGTTTTTCGACTATGAATTGTTTCCAAGTGTTACTTTCTCAGGAGTAACGAGATTTCTGCACCCCAATATGCAAGAAACCGATTCCCCCTAAAAGAATAAATTGAATTATTGTGCCTAAGAAACTATAACTTTCAGTGACTCTTTCAGAAATGTTATTTTGAATTACAGACGATCAATTTATTCATCCGATTACTCATTGCATAAATTATAATCTTATTTACAATCGTCTGTAGACTAACAGGTGTATTCGTGTAATTGCAAACTTCTTTGATAGAAATTCTGCATACGCTGTATACAAGCCATAAGCGAGCAGGTTCTTTTCTTTGTTTGTTTGTTTTTCTGTTTCTTCCTTGATTGTTTTTTATACAAACATAATTATAAAGGATAAACATATTTTTGCTTTAGGATGGATCACCGTAGTATATCCAAAATCAACTGAACAAATCCAATTACAAATAGGAGTACTGTCTCGCAGGCAACGCCGTTTGAATTTTTTGTCTGGTAGGCATCTTTATACGATGAGTAACCCTCAACTTTTTATCCACAAATCCAAAACAAGTACTTCTGAGATAAGATAAATGAAATAATCATGTTGTCGTATTCATATACCGAAGATAACTTATTAGAGACATCAAGAACGAACAGCTAAAAGACTTGCCAATTTCTTTGATCTATTCATTTTTAACTAAATAATCGTTAACAACAGCCTTCGATAATATTAGCACAGAATAGAATTATTTCTACTATAGGGGCCTAGGACCATGGACAGATTTAAGTGGCAAGGATTGGGGAGTGTTGGATGATAATTGGCTTTTTGCCATACCCTTCAGACAACTGGAAAATGATGGAAATGCTCATCTTTTAACTTCTGTTTTAATTTTTGGATAAAACAGATAATAAAATAAATAATTTATTTATTTGCATTTCTTTGCTGCTACTGACTACTGAAAAGTGCTATTTCCCAATCAAAGCAAAATTTACCGAAAGACACAAAAATATTGGAGGTGTCGCACCCCCGCTCCCCTAGGTAAATCTGTCCCTGCCCAGGACAAATCTTTCCACACTCTCCTTGCTATGAAAATATACACATTTACATAAGTACACTGACAGATTGCATTAAAGGAGAGTGTTTTTACGCCTTATTTCTTCATTTGAAGTTAACATTAAACGATTATAAATGGCATGTATTAGTAAGTTTTAAGACATTAAATATTATTATAACTATAGCATATGTATTTCGATAAACAACGCTGCTCTTAATTTTTACAGGATTCGCCAAAGAGATTTTAGGCTCAGTGCTATCGCCGAATGACTGTGAAGACTCCTGATTGCAAACAAAGGTTTTAGTATGATAAGATTTTTCAGGGACGCTGGAAAGGGGGCCCAGGCCCAGGGGCAACCACTTTTCTTGCTCTTTTGTAGGAAGGACAAGGGGGCGAAAGTGCCCTTTCATAAAGCTACCCTTGACATCGGCTTTGTGTAATTATCAAAGAGATTCCTATGAAATGAAGACTAGCCCTGCTCATTACAACATTTTCAAAACTTGTTAAAAGATTTTTATGCCAGCAGTTACCCCATTTTGTCCTTTAATAAAGCCAGCCCTCTTAACCCTTGATTGTTCCGGCATCTCTGAATTTTCTTCTTGTTTTCCACAACCTGCAAGTCTATAGTCGCAGGACCTTGGATCTGATCAGGTCGATTTTGATTTTCGCACTTGCAACAAAGCCAACGTCAAGAAAAAAGCTTCTTAAGAAAGTTGCTTACCCAAAGATAGATAAAAGATAAATTACTGTACTAAGTTACGAAATAGATTAAAAATACTAGAAAAGACCTTTCCAAGAGTCTAAAAGGTGTGGCCGAGAAAGGTGTTTTCGTCCGCCCTAGTTTTTTTAAGCTGGCGACGCCACTGGTTGTCTTTGAGAAAACCATATGAACAAGGGACCCAACTATTTTCAAAGTTATGCAACTGAAACTTCGTTTTCTGGCCTTGTTTGTCGCGCTGAACTAAATAAAACGGGAGCAAATCCAGCTTTAAAACTTCACCAAAAGCTATTTTTGACTGGGGTACTTGTCCGGTAACTTTAGAATTGCTACATTCTTATAATTCGACGAGAACCAGGCCTTTTTGTTACTGATGACGATATAAATACTAAATATGCTATCAAAACCACAAGCAAAAGCTTTCGAGTCAGTTGATAGTTCAGATTTAGCGAGTGGCAATCACGCAACCATGTAACTTTGGTATTGTTTCTGTTGATTCAATACAAAAAAATCAGCCTCCCTCATTGTGTACGATTTTATCGATTTAAAACAAGAATTAGCAGGCAAAAATATAACTTTATGAAATCAACATATTGATGCAGTAAGATGAGTGGCTTAGAGAGGTCAAGATTCCCAAACCAAAGAATTCAACGATAGAAGTAGAAGATTTATAGTGTGATTGCAATTGCGCAACGCTATGCTGCCTTTGTGATCGGTGTAGGCAGCGAGTTCATGTCTGCTGCACCTGATTACATTATGAGATGTTTCATCCATTGTGTGGCGTAGACCCCGTTTAGACTACAGAAAAAGAACGGAACGATGGGCCTCGCGTTTACACAAAGCCCTTGCTAGTTTGGGAACGGTTCCGTTCTTCTGTGGTTTAGCTAAAGCGCGAAACTCTTTTATTCCGTTCCCAAATCCTGCTTGTTTTCTCTAGTGTAAAGGTTCAGGAACGAGAATTGTTGGTTACGATTTCCGCGCCACTGCATATGTTTCGCATGAAAGTTCCGTTCCTTTTACTCAAGTGTAAACAGGCTCAAATTTTTTTCCGTTCCTTTTTGCTACAGTGCCGACGCGATAAAAAAGGGGTATCGTGCCCAATCAAGGACGGAACCTTTCTTCTTTTTGTAGTGTAAACGGGGTCTTTTTTGGTTTTTGCATTATAGCGGTTTGTAATTTCCATTTTTACAGCTCGAAAAGGAGATTTTGGCAGACAAAATTGGATTTGAATAAAGAACAAATTTAGCAAAATGTTGTGCCTGCACCTGGCTGATGTGTGTTGCAGCCCCAATTATTTTTATTCTATACCTCTGTATTCTATCTTACCCCCATTCCACCACCTCGAATTATCAATTTCACTCGACACTGTTAGCATTCAGTTTTGGTATTTTCAGTTGGTTTGCCACCCTCCTTACACCAAATTCGTTATCTGGCATCAATAAAGAGGCACTCGCGAAAACCGTTAAAAATTAATTCTGTTTATTCTTTTATCTTGTTTTTGGTGTTCCGTTTTAAAACAAAATTTGCTAAATCTTATAAAGATTGATGTAAGTGCCGGAGATTTGTACGGCATATCTTGACCTTCGTCTTCCTGGTGTTGATGTCTGACATATGCAGCAGTAGATTTGTTCACATTAGTGTTCAGGACAAGCGAATGATGAGGGTCAGGGTACCAAAGTCACAAGACGGCGATGTCTTTCAAAATAGCAATATTAACCTTCTTTGTTTTAATGTTCATTCAGATTGGTGTGTGGCCCTTCCATAGATGTAGGAGGTATAGGGGCCGGGATGGGTTGCAGCCCCTCTAATTTCGCGCATTTCGGCGAAGTTTGTTGCATTTCAGGTATCATTCGGCAAGTTCCATTGCCATGAAGCAATGATCATATTTGTGCCATTTCCTCACGAAGCCCCCTCCCCCCTAAATCCGCAGCATTAGCTACGATTATGAGCCTTTCCCATCAAAACTGATATCTACCGTCCCTGGTGTTAACCAAATCTTAATCGATTCTGCATCCAAATTCAACAGACTTATTCTTGTTGATTTCCCCCCGTACTTCTTGAACAGAAAGCATTTGTTTCACGTGAGAATCTATTAATAAACCTAGTCTGAAGGTCAGCATTGTGACGATGGTACGTTGTTGAGCTCTGAGTCAGTTAATGTTTCAAACCTTTTTGCAGTTGAGAATCAACAGATTTCCACTTTTTGTTTGTTCAGTTGCCAAATAAAAAAACAATCAGTTCGTCAGGTGAAGGAAAATACAATCATTTCGTCAACTGCGCTACCAAAAACGCCCATGCAAAACTGTTTTTAAATCGTGTTGTCTTATAAAAAACAACTCAATCCTCATCGTTTTGAAAAATCAATCCTGTGATAAGAACAACATGAAGAACACCAGAGCCTCAAGTTATCTAAAAATAAGAAAACTGGCAAAAATTATCGGGTTCTTGTAAAGAAGTGCGAAGGGGCTTTTTCCACCTTTTATCCACAGAGGGGCAAATTTTTTATCCCTTGGTTACAAACAATTTACTTGCAAAACATGGGCGAAACACCTTATTTTCCATTGGAAGGACGAATATTGTTTCTTCATTGAAACAAAATTGCCCGACTGAGCCTGAAATTCGATAAACTTTGCCTGATTAAGGGGAATGAAGCCCCTAGCCCCTATGTTTTCTATTATCTACTGGTGATTGTGACAGTGACCCCCCCCCCCGTATCTGCAAAAGGGTTCAATCAAAACTTTTTTGATGGTAACCTCCCTCAATTCGCACAAAGCTGTGTTTACTGCAAACGTGTGAAGAAACTTGAACTTTCATATCAATATTTACAGACAGTGGTTAAATTAGGACTATGTACGGTGTCATATTGCGACATTTGCAGCGAGTGTTGTCTGATCTAAATATAATAAGAAAAGAAGATGTTATGTGTTATCGACGATTGCCGAAACTGCTGTTGCAAATGCTGACCAAACATTTTAGTTATATGTTTTAAATAATTTTGAGAGAGCATTATCGGGGCTCAGTGATAAACTTTGCTCTTTGCTCCCTGCATGTGACTCTCAATGGTCTGCAAACTTCGTTTTTTGCATGACAAAGCAATTTTTCTTATGACATGGTCATTCGTTATTGATGCTTTATTCCCGTCCCCTTTTATAACGCTCAATAAGAGAAGACAGTAATGCAACTGTATGAATAAAGTAGAATACGTTATTGACAATGTGGGTGTTATCATATGCGGACACGACTGTCATATTTTAATCGGAACGACGAACGAATAGAAATCCTGAAAACGGCTTTACAATTTTCATAAGAATGGGTTTTATAAGAACATTAAGGCTCAAAATTGGTGAAATTTAGGAATGAATTATGAATAGTATCAAGGCTCAAATCTCATCGAAAACTCGAAATTCATTTGTCTGGGAATTTTTACCAAACAAGACAAGCATGACTTCGCACTAAAAGTTTCAGGTTAACTCATCATCATCAGGTTTGTTTTGTGCTAGTATGAATGATTTTAATAAAATCTTTCATGTTGAGGAAAGACAGATATAAAGATTTGTGCTTTTGCT